ACCAAGGCTAACCCACCACACTCTCACTAACAACAACAAACTGAAGCAGAGCAGAAACACTGTTGTCACCAAACCTTTCCCAGGAATACTTTGTTTATGGGTTCAAAAGTCCTCTGCTGTCCTCACAGCTGAAGACACTCATCAATTACCAAAATGTAGAGCCAAGAACAGAAAGTAAAATTAAATGGTCTCTGAGGTGGGAGAAACGCAAAACTTACTCTGACATGGAAACAATTTACCTTGGAGAATGCTAGGGATAATAGATTGTTCTTAACACAATAAACAACATTGATAATCCAAGCCTAAACACTGTCTGAAAGAACAAATATCGTCTTTTAAACAAATCAGTGTAAATGCATGGATATTCAGTACAGTCTAGAAATGCTTTTGCAAGAATTTACCTCTCTTTTTTTAGCTTCATTTGTGCTGTACTTTGGAAAGAGGTAGGAAAAAATATTCCCGCAGCAGCAGGCAACATGTACCAAGGGACCCTCTTTTCCTAAACTCAAACCTGATGCGACAGCCAAGACTAAAGTAATTGTTTTTATCATCAAAGTCCACTTCCCCAAGTAACCTCTGATGATGAAGCCGCTCAAAATAGTTTTTATCTGGAAGAAAGAAAAAATAATATATGTTATTGTATTCTCCTTTCTTCAGAAAATAATTACTTTTATCATTTTAGCTGCATAACTTCAAAAATAGCCTTTTCAAATTACTAACTTTATCACACTTTAAAACATGTATCATTCAGATTACTACACTGAGTCCATCTGGTTGCCAGAGGCTTTCCATTTGCAACTTGCTCTTAAACACTGGATAACAACATACAACAACGTTATCAATTACATTTAGTAGAAAATTAATCTGCAGTAGCTTCTAAGACTGCATTCATTGGTTTATGATGTAAATTATCAAGTGAAAGTCAGAAAACTCCCAAAGGAAAAATAAGCCTGCAAAAACTACATTCAAGGTCATCTATTGTAGAAATACCACATCTGCACCAATTTTACCCCTCTCTGTTTTCTCCTTACATTTTACCATCTCTACATAAAAATTTAACAGTAGATTCCTTGACATAAAGATGGAAAAGATCAGCCGTTTTCCACTAGAAAAGATGTGCCACTTGCCTAAGGTATTACTTTGCCTAACAGTGTCATATTATTAGCCTGGAAAATATGCCCATATATAGGAAATAATATAGTTATCATAGGAAAGGACAACATGTCTATGAATAGGATATACACAAAACACTGGGCAGCTGTGTCTAGAAAGTAAACGTTTGCTAATTTGGAAACCAATTTAGGATGAAATCTCTTCTGGAATAATGGCACAGAACTACTCCAAGCTTATTCAGAGGTAGGATTAGTCCTTCAACTGCTACAGTACACATACATAGAAGAAATATTTACAGAATGACTGGAGAAGTGAGACTGACCAAACTTTGACTTTGCGTTTTTCCCTCCCATTCTGTGTATAGTAGCAGACAGCAATTGTAAAAAGAATTATTGTCTTTGAGGATATTACACATTTTAATTTGTGATTGTCTGATGTTTTCTGCTAGTTAAGGCGATTAAAGCCAGTGCAACAAAAGATCAATTGCTGTATCAAAGGACCCATATTCTGTCAATGAACCACTGCTCTCTTATCACCGTAGGGAGGGTGGGGATTGGGGGGAGCTTCAGAAATCACTCTTCAGAAGTCTACTCTCTTAAGCTAAATGTTTCCTTAAAAAATATTCCAGCCAGAAGCACGCAGCAAAATCTACAAACTCAGGAGATTCTCTGAAATTTGGGGTATTTTTCTCAGCAACAATTAGCACAATTATATTATTTCAACTTGAATACTTGTATTAATGTATTTCATCAAAGTCACAGGGTGCTCCCTCTTGCCTTCTCCCTGACCCTGTAAGGCAGCAAGAGTTTTCACATTAATATGAAACATCTATAATGTATATATTAGTTAGACCTCACCTCAGGTATCCCTGAGCCACAGGCATAGGGAGCAAATACCTTCACCAGAGAAACTGCTAAGAAGGCAAAGCTCAAAGCCCAGAAAATGTACATTATGTAGTTCATTATGTATGAACCTGGACCCTAAAAGCAAAAACAAAAACCAAAAAAAAAAATCAGAATATAAATTTGATGTAGGAGCAAATTCACTTCTTAAAATAACCCAGAAGTACTCTTGCTGCAAGTACACTTATGCACACATTTTGAGGGACAGTAATTATTACCAAGCCAAGAAAGACAGAGTTTTGTTTGAAAAGCATAAAGTCATGACACCTGCACATCAGCAAAGGCTGGGTTATACAAGGTAGAAAGTGTTCTAACACTTCATCTTAAAAAGAAAAAATAAACATAGCACAGTTTTTTTTTTTAATAGCTATTAGCTGCTAAAATCTAATGAATACTGAGTAATCTTCTTTATTTAAAAAATTTTGTGGCAGAAAAAATAAAACCAATCTATTCTTAGTTACCTGAGAACACAACTTTCATTTTTATGTATAGCTATGATCAAGAACAGAAATTCTCATGTTAACAGTTCTATACTCTCATAACTTCCTTACACCTGCAAGCCCCTTCCTACACTCCAAGCCCCCTTGCAGTGCATGAAATGCACATTTATTACATTATAACCCATTAATCAATTCAAATGCTGAAAAATGGAGCAGACAGTACAACCCAAATCTGTGTTTAGTACCCTAACCTTAAGACCATTATTTTCTTTCCCTGTTCAGTCAAGCTGCTGAACAAGACCATCAAAGAATGGGTACATACTTACTTCTGCTTGCCCAATTATTAGTTCTGCCCATGTCTTCCACTGCGGACATTTATCTCTTTCTTCAAATGTGGTCTCATTTGAACCCCAACAACACTGTTCATGGTTAAACCACAAAGCACTAAGGCAAATGCCTTCCTTTAAGTCAGTCATCCAGTCAGCAGCAATGTCAATTAATCCTGCCAATGCCCCTGTTGTAGAATCAGTTTTGTATTAATATTCTGGTAAATAGGAATAACACACACAGCTAAAATGAAGAAACATACTGGTATTAATTGATGTAAATTGAAATTACAGAAAACCTAAAGAAACAGACATTTAAAATATTACTGATTTCCAGGAATATATCCCATTTGCAATATGGCAAGATTAGTATTTGCTGAAGAATCTAGCACCTTGTAGTTAAATGCATCTTTTTTTTTCTTTCTTTTTTTTCTTTTTTTTTTTTTCCCCTATGTCACAGCTCTCCAACAGTCCACTGAAACTAAGGAATTAAGAAAAGAGGACTGATGCATTTTTGTGATGAAAAAGACAACAGACCTTCTGACAAAACTACCTTGCCATGCTTCAGAGAACTCATTAACTATTCTACTATGTGTTGTAGAGAACAGCATATTTAGAGAAAATAATTCCTACCTTGCCAACAACAGTTTTAGAACAACATAAATAAAACACCAAATAAACCCTGATGACATTCATGTTATCCATATACAAAATTACTTAATTCTGTAACATGGTGAGCATGTAAAATTCCTACTGCAGGTAACAAACAGTATAGATAATATGCAGTTCACAAACTCAGAGCTTAAGAGGGATTCTCTGTTGTAACTACATGCAGAAAACTTGCTGAAGAGTCCTCAAAAAACAGGCATTACTTAGGAAATTGCTTCAAAGGATTTTAAAAAAAAAATTTTAAAACCCTTTGTTTTACAAAAGCAAAATAATTTTTCCCAGTAGCAGTATTCTGAAAAACTACTTCTAAAGTCAATATTTTTGTGAACATGTACAACTGTTAATTAGCCATAATTTACTATTTTTATGGTATTAATCACTACTAGAAATAGCTGTCTAGAGACAGTCACAATGTACTTGTGTAAGTTGGTAGTAAAAAATTACCTCCGATTTACTAATTTATATTTACTAATCTTGACAGACCCGCAGTTTGAGATCCTGAGCCAACCAAAGTCAAAGGCAGTATTTCAGTAGAACAAAATTTCAACCAAATTAATTAAAATACATAAATGTAAGATCTCCCTATGACTGAAATCAAGGTTGTACCATTTAAGATACGCTAGACACATACAACAGAAAGCAACTGACACTGAAAAACCTAGGAATGTTCATGGCCAGAATTTGCTCGCTTTGTTGCTCAGAAACATAGTAAAGCAATTTTAATATACATAGCAGCTTGGGGGGTGGAAACACAACACTGCACGTTCCTACCCAAATTATCACAAGCAATTTCCAGTAAATATACACTCCCAGTTTGTACATTCAGAGGTATATAAACATGCTACAAACTTTGCGTATATATTAATTTACATGTGATTTGTGAAAGTGATTATGTATGTATCTAAGTAGTAATTATACAGTTACCATGCCTTTTTAACAGGCATTGCCATACTCTGCAATTAATCCAATTTTCCTAGCATTTAATCTAAGATCTCTGTTTGAAATACTTTTTTGGAAAAACCGGGCACAAAGTTTGTGACTTCTCACTCCTGCACATTTTGGTCACTCCAAACTATGCTGATAGAAAGCAGCGCTGCATGACAGTGGGGCCACAAACTATCAGATGATTTTAGCTGTAAAACTCATCCTAAAATACATTAAAAAGAAAAGATAGAGTTGAAATAGAGGCCAACAAACTCTACCTGTTAAAGCTAATATTTTCTGTGTAACAACCTCTAGAAAGGTATGACATAAACATATAGCTAGGCTTTGCTCATGTATAAACACATGCTTTACAAGGAAGTGTGTTTACCAAAACTACACATATACCGGAGCTACTTTTTGGTCCATATGGAATAAGCTAATGGGTTCAGTAAAGTTCCTAGCAAAAAAACAAAAAAACAACCCCCACCCCCAAAAACAAATTCATAGCAGAAAAACCATCTAGCACAAACAATTAATACGCTTTCACAGGAAAAAAGTAAAATTTAATAGAAAGGGAAAACACCAATCTCAATGACGGGACTGAAGAACACCGATAGTTCTTCCACTTCAAGGTGGAAGTTCAATAACTCTGAGAAGCTCTCACTAGATTCAGTGAGGATTTTATTTTCCATTTGATTAGTAAACCCTCCCCTCAAAACGCTACAGCCTGTAAATCAAGATAGTAGACCTTCTCCTTCCCTCACGGAATTATGGTAGTAGTCTGAACCAGCTCTTTTCCAGGTTGGTGGATAACACACAAATGAAATGCACAGTAGCTATACTTGCTGACAAATGTAAGAAAGAAATCCTCTGGTTTTTAATTTACCTGATGCCAAACCAGTTAGTGTTACTACTAGCCATCCTGACCATGCATCATACAAACTTTTTGTCATCTCCCATGCTGATTCTTTCTTCTTGCTGTTAATCTGCAAAGAGAAATCGTTATGTATACTTGTATGTGTTTCTGTAATATGAGTAGGAGAACAAAAGTAAGTATGACATACAAACTGTATGATGCAAGCTGCAGGCAAATATACCCTCTATTTAAACTACAAGCATTGTCCTTGTATTTAGTGCTTTACATAGATGAATCAGCTTGGTTATTCAGACATCAAACAGCTGATGGAGGAAAGTAAATTTGCTTAATTTAAAGAACTAAAACCCAGGAAATGCATTATTAGGATAAATGAATACTTTCTATGATACACATCTAAAACATGTAATTGTAAAATTATTTCTCTCCTAAATCTTTTTTTTGTTGAACCTCAAATAAACTGTTAGTGTACAAGTTAGTTATAAGCTATTCCATACAATTCAAATTCCTAAACTTCTATTTCAAATATAAACATCTTTCATCTTTAGACTATAAACCACACAAAAATAAAACAAAACCAAAAATTGGATAACTACCCTATAATACTTCTAGACAACTATTACTAATGACATTTAAAGTTATTGTACTGAAAAAAATAGTAATTCTTATTTTAGCCTTGTTTACTTTACTTTGTGCATTTAGCTGCAATTTGTGCATAACCTGTTTTATGATTAAACCTTCGTTATGTAATTAGAACCTATTCTTATGACTTTTTCCATACTGTAAAAGGAGGGAGAAAGTATGTGCAACAAACAGCAAAAAAAAACCAAACCAAGAAAGCACAATACTAGACAAGGAAATCTAGGAAAAAATACCACCCCTAAAGCAAATAAACCTATTTTATAGTTTCCTCTACATATGTGAGAGTCTCAAACTTTTCTTTTTTAAATAAAAAAAGCTGTTTCTACAGTAGCATGTCCTTCTAAACCAACATGAACTAGTACTCATTCCTCCGCTTTCTACATCTTTGATGACATGCCCAGACAGTCTCCTATCATTCAGGGCATATTTATAAATTTCACAGTAGCTCTGTGACTATAAACTGTGAACTGTCTTGTCTGACTTTTCTCATCTCAGACATTAAAATGAGCAACAGCTGTGAGACTTCACCCTAGATAACCTATTTCCAGGTGTGATCTGCCTTGCCAGGATTTGGTCAGGCCCAGCATTCTATCCAATGGCATATCCACTAGGCCACTAATCTACCCATCTGCAGTGTAAAGATGCCGTTGTGTTAATTATTTCATAATTTGATGTCCAAGCAGTAAAGTATGATATGGAAAACACCTTCTTAGTTTTCATTAAAAGCATTCAAACAAGGTACATGTTCTCAGATCCATTCTCCAAGGATCTCTTTTCCTTCAAAAAGCACTAGATAGTGCAATTGTGGATGTTTTGTTTTTTAAACTAGTGTAAGACTTATGTTTTTTAACCATGTCAAAATAAATCAGCATATACATCCTACATTGGCTTCCAGAAAGTTAAAAACGGTGTTTCCACAGAAAGCAGAATAACGCTACAGCGTTATACATAAAGGAACCTCTCCCCTGACCCCTCCATACAATTACAATTAACTATTCATTTTGATCAGTTAAAAATATTTTAGGAGAAATCACATGTCCAAATCTGTTCCGTTTTTAAGGTTAATTAATGTAAGCATCCCAAAAGTTTTGCAGTAAGGCTCTAAATAGCATACTTCCTCCTAAAATGCTATTAAACAAGTCTATTACATGAATGACAGTATCTAGCACGTTACTGACTAATACAACTTGAGTCCATTTCATGAAAGAACTCATTGCAGAGCACGCTGATAAAGATGAATGGCCTGAACTTTGAAGATCTTCTGAAGAAATCAATAGAGAAGAGCAGAAAAGCAAATTCTGTGATGGGAGAGTGGAAAGGACATTTACCATACGTATTGAGACTACTTTTTTGTTAAGCATATATACACACTGATATAAGTGGTTTAGATATGACAATTTTCACTTTCCATAATCCAAACAACCGCAGCACTAGATACCAGTAGCACAGATACACCTGTGTCAGTATAAAAGCAATATACATCAGTGCTCACTTTTCTGTACAAGTACCACCATAAGCACTATTGTACTATTACTAATGTATCTACACTGGAAAATAGCCTTAAATATACTAGCATGCAAAAAAGGCAGTACTGTAAAAATGTCATTTGGGTGACGGGGAACTATTTCCACTCTATTAAATTACTGCTTCCTTTCCAAGTTATACTACTGTTGCAGGACAGCAGGTATCAATGAAACGGTGCTTTTTTAACAGCATTCAAGTAGTTCTAGCTGATGTAACTACTTAAAAATTTAAAGTATGCACATATTTGTATGTGTTACTAGATCAGACCTTAATTCCAACATCCAACAAAGAATATTTTCCAAGTATTGTTATTTAATCTCAAATATTGTTATCTCAAATACCCGTCTATGCCTTTCTCTGTCCTTGCACTTTTCTCGAACCCAGTCAATGGTATGGAAGTCATCATATGTTCCTACTCCAGGAATTGGTTCATCCAGAAGATCCAGTAAATGTGTTGAACTGTTGATACTTCCTCCATTTGTCATCGTATAATGAGTTCCTGTGGCAGAGGAAAGACAGGAGTGAATTAATTCTGCAATAAATGAAGTATTTTAATGTTCATAACTACAGCATATAAAATTTCTCAACAAGTAATTAAGACATTTCCCATAACATGCATATTTTACTTCACTTAGGCCTCTCGATGTTGCACGCCACTTTTTTTTCTGTCACTCATCTGTAGGTTAAATTTACATGTTAGTGACTTTGTATTTCCATTGGTTAAATATGAATGTAGTCAAATTGTTGTTCCGTTTTGTGTGTGGACTCCAGAGACACTTCAATAGAACAAAGTGGAAAAAAAGAGCAGCTTCAATACACATTTAACTTGAAGTTTATTTCAGTTCATGAACTACCAGAGGAAAGTCTGACTGTAAGAAAATAAAACCAGATGATTAACGTTCACAGAACTTCCGTAAGTTGCTGGTTATTTTAAAATATACATACCATTGATTATCAATCCCTCCTATATGCCTAAACCAAACCTCAAATACATTGTCAACAGATTATCAGTGCAGCTAAAAAGTAACAGAAATCCAAGCAAATACTTTTTTTTTTTTAATTTTTATTTCTTTATTTCGGGTAACTCACAGAACAGCCCTCAGTCATGAAGAGTTGGAAATACTGTATAAAGAAAATGTCTTCTACTAATTTGCAGTCGCTAGCTAGTTCCTTCACAAGCAGCTTGCATAGCAACATCCCCAACAGTATTTTTTTCAGTGATCAGAATAAGCAGAGCAAGAGGAGTACTGAGAATTTTTCCCTCTTCATAAGTGATCAAGAAAGTTTAATGTTTTTAAGCTTTCAAATGTCATCAATTCTGTAATGTCTTGGCTTTTTTGAGTTCCTGCAGTATATTTACAGGCCTCAAGTATAATTTTCTGCTGGATGGCTGCCCAAATATAGCATGGCCACCACTTGCCCACCCAACACAAACTGCTTCTGCAACAGTAATTGCCATAAAGGGAATATTTATAATGAGGTTAGTATAGACAATGATTTAAAGAGTGATTACTCTCACTTGTTTGACTAAGAACAAACTAATTTGGCCCAACAGCATATGGTGTACCACAATAATCTCTGTTCTTAAAGATGTAGGCCCAAGTTGGCCAAGACTTCTATCAGTTCAGACAGGCACTAGAACTCATTTCACTAGACTGACACTGGGATGGTTAGGCAGGTGGGGTTTTTTGACTTGGGTTTTCTTGTTTGGTTGGTTGGATTTTTTGGATTTTTTTTTTTTTTTTTCAGACTCAGCTTCTCGATATTGTCAGCAGAAGTTTCCAACTTATCAAAAAAAAAAAAAAAAAAAAAAGTCTTCAAAGGGCCTACCTGTAAACTTCCAAATGCTACAAATGCCAAGTTCACCAGCCCCAGCTCTCACCAACAACTGACAATTAGATTTATACATAGGTAAAAATGCCCTTTTTCCCTTTAAATTTATGAAGTCTGAGATCTAGTGAAGCAGTGTGACACCTGGCATTATATGCAGACCCAAAGATGTGCCTCAGCCATCTATTGTTTGAGAGGTCTCATTTATGCCTGCTATGTAACGCAGTGTTTATTGGGACATTTTCTTTGTGGTGAAAGACAACACACAAGAAAATAATACAGAAATCCTATTAAGACAATATGCAATCTAAAATTTTCAAGATACACAAACTACTATTCATTACATATATACATTACATTCAGAAAAGCTTAAAATTCTACGAAATTCTCTAAAAAGATTACTTTTTTTTTTAATCTTAAAGTAAAAGAAGAGACTGCAAATGCAGGAGACACTCCCCAATGATGCCAATACCATTCTCTCATGCTAGCCTGGCTGCCATCTTTCTTAATACTGGTTTTTTCCCCAGTCTATGCCATATTAAATTCTCCCTCACCTATTCACCATAGCTAAGCCCTGTAAATCTCTTCCCAAAGCTGCTGCTAGTCCCTCTTAAGGCAGATCTAAAGAAGCATTACCTATGCTTCCATTAATAAAAGGCTAACAACAACAAATTAAATTAGATTTGCTAATAGAGGTGATTGTGAAAACCTTGCTTTAGGATAAGGGATTCAATTCTCTTCCATTTCCAATTCTCATAACTAGAAAGGAAGTCTAAGATACACATCTGGCTAGCTGAAAGGGCAGGCGGATCTTATGGAAGAGGTAGTAACAAAATTCACACTGTAATGATTAGTTTAGCTCTCAGAATTAAAAGAATAACAGAATACATTATGAAAATGTTATTTCTACATGAAATTAACCTCCTTCGCAAAGCAAGGGGACATAAATTAAGTTCAGCCATAGTTTAATTATTAATTGCCTACAAAGTTACAATGTGATCAAGCAGTTTCCTGAACCTGAGTGATCACGGTAGGACAAAAGCTTGCCTTTGCCCAGGGGGAGTTGGTTTTACGTCCTGCTATATATGAAGCAATATCAAGCTATAAGGAGCACGCAATTCTATGCCACACAAGGCAAAGGAGAGTTGAGAGTTATAAATGTATCACAAACAGTAACAGATGATTTTATGCATATTACGAGGTGCTGAATTGGAATTCTCTCCAGGGAAACCATCAGGGATGGCACCATACCCACTGCACCAGACCCCAAGCAGAATTTGGAGTAGACTACAAAGAATGGTCACTGCCTGGATACAATAAAAATCCCGCCGAAACTGTGTCAGGTTCCTACTTTGCCAGTATTTGCTGGCACACCAAATACTGGAATATAAATGATTATTGTATGATGGGGAAGAAATGCAGAACAAGATGTGAAGCTGAAGAGGTGGTTTTGTTGAATATAGAGCTGCCATGAACATCTGATGCAGCTGAATAGCTATAATCTTGTACCAAGTGAGAAACAGGCAGCAGTGATACCCTGCATTAGCGTGTGGTAGAAAGGCTGCCCTCCAGAGGACCACAAAGAGGAGAACTGTATGAAATCTGATGCTCTGTATCTAAGATACGTAAGTCTGACAGCAGTGGGAGAGGACATTCTCCAGCTAGTATTATGATCTACGTAGCATAAAACTATTCTAAAGGGGAATTTAGGGAAATACACCTTTACCAATACTCACTTTTCAAACTTCCAGTTCCCTTTCCTCACTTCCTTCTCTAGCATTTCACACAGTAAGATGCTCCTTCCAGCTATGACGATAATGATTCTCATCAGCATACACACATGCGAATTCTCATCATTTATTGCCAGTTTCATCAAAGTGTTATTATTTTCAACTGAATAGATTTTGTTAAAATCGTTACCATAATACAGATTTTCCATCACAGCATTCTAACCTCCAAGCAGGAAATCATCATTACCCTGATAAATTGTAACATTTAGTGAATGTAGCCTTCTGGACATTCCCAGTGTTCAGAAAGCACTTCCCTTTCCTTCCTCCCTTTTTTCCCCAGTCCTCAAGTTTCAAGACTCGTTCTCAGGCTACAACTCAATGCAAGTGCTTTTCATCAAAACACGAGCTGCCTTAGTCTTAAAAACCACAACAAGCGCTTAGCACACAAGGCATATAGGCACAGCCTCTAGCTGTGATAAGAGAACACCTCCATTTTCCATATGTACACACCTGAAGCATTCTGCAGCTGTAAAGAAAGTAAAGCCTTCTTTTTGTTACCTACGAGTTTGCTTAAGGCTTTATTAGGCTGGGAAGCAGATGGTAAAAGTGGCAGGCAGAACTTTTATTATTACTGTTATTCCAAACTAACCCATGTTACTACAGGGAGGCAAATAGTAATATACTGATCCTCTCAAAGGCTCAATACAACTCACAGGAATCCTTACAAAGCAAATTCAACACAATCCTTCCATATTTTGCAAAACTAAGGTAGCTGGCATCCCTTTATTAACACACTCTTCTCCAATAGGATCTTTAACAATCCTGTATTCTCAACACATAACTAGCGAGCTGCTGCAATCACAGACTGCAAGCCTGCAGACAGTAAGCTTCTAGACAATGAAAGCAACATGCTGCTTCAGAGAAAGGAGATTGTCTCTTTTAGGTGATTAAGTCACTATAGGTCTTGCCTGAACTACCTTCTAGGAAGGCACCTGACTTTTGTTATCCTTCCATGGATACAATTCCAAGCCTTCAGCACAATCCTTTCTCAGCAATCAGCTCTGGTAGTGCTAAAGAACTGCTTCAAGTGAAGTTGTTGTGAAAAAAAAACCAACAAAAAACTGATAAAGAATATTGCATCATGTTGAAAGAAAAAAGCCGTAATAAGCATTAAGGTTAACAGTAAAACACTGTACTTTGGGACACCTGACCAGAATGAGGTACAGCAAAAACAAACAAAAACGCTACATGGACAGAACTGGAATAAGAGAAATAGATTCCAACACCATAAAAAAGCTCTCATCTCTGAAGAAGTGGGGGTTTTGTTTGGTTTTTTTTTTTTTAAATGAGAATGAAATAAATACAATCCAAAATCGCTTGAGAGGACACTATGCCTGACAGAAAAAGCAGTCCTTATCATATTGCTCTCCTTCATTTCCTTCTGAACATGAAGTTATACTGAATGGCTCTTAGATCCCAACACTGACCCAACCTCCTGCTTCGCTTACCTAGTCCCTCCTGACGTAAAGCAGGAACAAAGAAATTACAGAACTAGTATTTTGCTATACTCACACAAGTTGCTCTATACATTACAGATTCCTCCTTGCCTTATGTCCCCCTGAGACAAGGAATCTCTCTTCTTTCTTATTCTATATATATGCCTCATACAAGCAGTCTTCAATCTTGATTGATGTTGGAACTATGATAAACATGACAAAAAGCTGATTCATGTAGATTACACACAGCATTTTTCAGGTGCCATGCACAGCATTTTCAAAGGCTGCCTCACCTCCTCTAGAAGTGATCCCATACTCCCTTGTCCTTTTGCAACGCAGTAGATTTCTTTCAGATTTGAAAGCAACCCTGGGCAACACGCAGCTGATGAAAGTCATGTTTTTTTAAAGAAAAATACCTGGTAAGTTTTTACCTAATTCATTTA